CTTTCTTTCTTTCTTTCTTTCTTTCTTTCTTTCTTTCTTTCTTTCTTTCTTCATTTCTTCATTTCTTCGTTTGTTTGTTTCTTTCTTTTTTTTGTTTTTTGGTTTTTTTTTTTTGGTTTTTCGAGACAGGGTTTCTTTGTGTAACCCTGGCTGTCCTGGAACTCACTCTGTAGACTAGGCTGGCCTCAAACTCAGAAATCCACCTGCCTCTGCCTCCCAAGTGCTGGGATTAGTGCACCACCACTGCCCCACTTCTTTTCTTTTTCTAACACTAATGCAATTTTATTTTTTTCCTTTTGTTGAAAATAGATTTTTTTCATATAACACCCTGATTACAGTTTTGCTTCCCTCTATTCCTCCCAATTCCTCCCCACCTCCCTTCTAAGCCAGATCCACCCCCTTTATGCTATGTTTTCTAATGAAAACAAACAGGATAATATTAAAATATAAGATAAAAACAAAAACTAACACACGGGAAATTGACAAGAGAAAACAACAGAAGGAAAAGAGCTCAAGAGAAGGCACAAGAATCAGAGACTCACTTGTTTTTGCACTCAGGAATCTCATTAAAAACACTGAACTGGAAGCCATAGTATATATGCTGAGGACCTGGTGCCTTGCAGGCCCTGTGCATGCTGCCTCAGTCTTTGTGAGTTCATATGAACTTATCTCATGTTGACTTAGAGGGCCTTGTTTTCTTGGAGTCCTCCATCTCCTCTGGCTCTTATGTTCTTTCTGCCCCTCCTTTGATGGGGTTCTCTGAGCCCTGAGAGGGAGGATTTGATAGAGACATCCCATTTAGGACTGAGTGTTCCTAGGTCTTTCATTCAGCTTGTTTGCTTATAGTACCCAGGACCACCCTCCCACAGGTGGCTCCATCCTGAGTGTCATGGGCCCTCCCACATCATCAGCCATTAATCAAGAAAATGCCCTCAAGACCTGCCTACAAATCTGATGGATGCATTTGAGGTTCCTCTTCCCAGATGACCCTGCTTGTGTCAAGTTGACAAATCCCTAGCCAGCACAAATTTATACTACAATTCCCCTTCATTATCCAAATATATTGCTCTTGAGTTCAAATAATGAGTTCAGATGGCAAAGGACACTTGCTTTTCTGAGTTGAATGTGTTTGGTTCCTGCAAAGAATCGTATTATCACAGTTAGCCATGGTGGTGTGTATCCCATCACTCAAGGTGAAGCAGGATTCTGAGTTGCAAGCCTGTCTGGGATACAAAGCAAGTTTAAATTTAGCCTCAGCCACACAGCAAGGTTGTCTTTAAAAAGTGTGAGCTATATTTGGTGATATATACCCATAATCCCAGCATATGGAAAGTGAGGCAGGATGATCATGAGTTCAAGACCACTCCATACTAAATGAAACCAGACTTAAAACAAACAAACAAACAAAAAAAAATCCCAACAAATATGTATTAACAGGAAGCAAAGAATGTGTGCTTGGGGAATATTTGGTACTGCATGTTCTAGTTATGTATGAGACTTTTTATTTTGGTTTTAAAGAGCAATTTATGGAGTTATTTCCCATTCTTATTCCATTGTAGACAACTATAACTATCTTCAAAATGCACCTCCTGGATTTTTCCCAAGACTTGGTGTTATTGGCTTTGCTGGTTTTGTTGGACTCCTTCTTGCTAGAGGTAGGTGCAGTTTTTAAGATTTTCCTCCCAGTCACTTTATATGGGAGAGATGGGATATATATTTGGTTCTTTATCCATATTTAATAGTTTTTAGACAAGTTGGTTCCTGAATATGGACTTCTTAACATACAATTCATGTGTGTCTTTACCCAGTTACATTTGACTTTAAACATACATAGAAATTTATACTCTTGGTAAGAAAAAGAAATTAGTAATACTTATTAAACGTATTTACTTGTTCAAATATTGCTCTATGGTATAGAAGGAATGAATTTCTGTTCAAAATCTTTTCTACCTGACAAACTGTCAATATTTCACTGTTGCCGGGTGTGGTAGCACATGCCTTTATCCCAGCACTCTGGAGGTGGAGGCAGCTGCAGGTAAATCTCTGTGAGTTTCAGGCCAGCCTGGTCTACAAAGTGAGTCCAGGACAGCCAGGGGTCTGTTATACAGAGAAACCCTGTCTCAAAAAAAAAAAAAAAAAAAACCAAACAAAAAAACCAACCAACCAAAACCAAAAAAGAAAGAAAACAAAAGAAAAGAAAAAACCAAACCAAACAACAACAACAAAAACCAAACTCCCAAACAAAAAACAGCCTATTATGCTCTAGCTATTAATCACAGTAAGTAGAAGGGTGATTTACTAGCTTATTAACTTCTTCAGGTGTCACACCTTCAGTTAGTGATGAAATGAACACTTTAAAAATGCTTAACATTTAAAGCACCTAGTAATAACTCGGAATATTTCTGTAGGGGGCTGGGGTATATAGCTCAGTGGCAAAATGCTTTTATGCTTAAGGCCCTGGGCTCAAGCCCAAGCTCCAGAAAATATTACTTTATTCTACTATTATATCACAAAACAATAATGGTAATAAAAGGCTTCACTATGAGGAGATTATTTTTATGATCTATTTGTAGTTTTACTAGTAAAATAAAGGTCTGTGGCATAAAATGCAGATATTACAAGAATTTTGATTAGAAGCTTAGTGTGATAATTCCAGCATTCAAGAGGCTGAGGCACAAGAAGATTGTCTCAAGACTGATCTGGGCCACATCATGAGTTCCAGGACAGCCTGGCCTATAGAGTGAGATTCTCTCAAACAGAACACACAAAATTCAAAATAGAAATATCCCAGCAAAGAACCCTGTAATCTGACCACCATAAAAGAGACCATAGTTTTATACTGATTGCTCTAATTTTGAACTCTTTCTTCTTTGTGCATTAGGTGTTATTTTAGAGTCAGGAGGGGACACTGCCCTGGTGGCAGCTTTGGTCCAGCTAGGAATAAACTCCTGCACACTTTCTCAGTTGGTTTCCACTTAGTTTCTCCAGACTGTTTGTTGGATGGAGTCCACTCTCCTCCCAGTTCTGTCCTGTAACCTGTTCTGAGACCCAACTGTTGTCATGGACTTCTTGTACTCATTATTGGGCCCCATTTCCTGGGCTTTTACAACACCTCCTTCTTCCTGCCATATTCAGTCATGTTGTTGAACTATATGCTTACATTGTTTTTTAAAAAGCATATGTGAGAGAGACTTTCCAAGATCTTTTATGTCTGTTCTTCATACTGACAGTTTGGATAGCTTGGAGTTCCTTTTCATCCAAACTAGCATCTGGCATTGCAGATGGCAGAGTGGATAGCCAGTCTGGATACTTGTTGCTCCCCTGCCCCCTTTTTGCTTCTTGGAAAATTTGAGGATCTTCAGTGTTCTGTTTTTCTATAGCATGGTGATGCTTTTAGCCTTTAGTGGGGCAGTTGGTGGTATGCCTTCTTCAGCTCAAGAGTTATATGTATCTGCTTTTTCTTTGAGTATTTGCTTTCTTTCTCCTTCCTGAATGCTTTTAGTTAATAATTGAGTTCTTTCTAAATGACTGTAGTGTGCCTTATGTTTTCTTGCTTGTTTTATTTCATTCTTTATGAATGTTTTCCTTTGGTCATTTCCATGAGGTCTTGCTCTCTGGATGTTCCTTCTGTATTGCAGGCTCTCCTCCAATGCCTGCTGATCCTTGGTTATCAGCATGTTTCAGAATGAGGCAATTGAAATGCTAGTAAGAACTCTGTATAAATGTGGCTTGCTGGTAGGCAGGTTCTATGTTATGGTAAGCCAGATGGGAGCTGACTATATGGAGGAGGTCTTTACTCTTAGGCACTAACAGTGGTGTGCGTATGCATGTGCATGTTCGTGTGTGTGCATGTTCGTGAGTGTGCATGTTCGTGTGTGTGTGTGTGTGTGTGTGTGTGTATGTGTGTGTGTGTCTGATTTGTGTGTGGTGCTGGGGATCTAACTATCTGGGACCTCATACATGCCAGGCAAGTGCTCTGCTAACTGTGCTGAGTTCATAACAGTTGACACTTTTTTTTCATGGTGCTGGGAATGAAACCCAGGTCTTTACTTAGGTTAAACAGTAATCCACCATTGACCTACATCCCCAGCCTGGATGACTTCTGATCTGTCAGTGGCCCCTCTGGACTTTTCTCTTCCTTACAACATTTCTGATCTATATTTTATTCTCTTACTGTTGTTCTAATGAAATCTCAGGAAGGGGAGGAAAGCAGCAATAGTCGTTTGTATTTAAAGTGGTTAGTTTTCTTTAAAAAAATATAAGTTGTACCATATAGGAAGCAGAGACAGAAAAGTCACAAATTTAAGACTAGTCTGGGCTACATAGTGGGATTATCTCCAAAAGCAAAACAAAGTGGAAAAAAAAAACCCAAAAGCAACATAAACAAAGAAAACCTAGAAAAAAAGGCAGAGGAAGTATATACCTATAGGCCAACTTAGGCTACAATGCCTTCACTAATTAATGGTGGCTATATTGAAATATTTGTTGAGTGAAGGAAGTTAGTCACAAAGAATAATACTTTATATGATTCCATGTATATTAAATTACCAGAGTAGGCAAATTCATAGAGATCAAAAATAGGTTTTCCTTAGCCTTATGTGTTTGTTGGTGGGATGGAGGATAGTGCTGGCTCAGTTCCTTCTTCCCTCCCTCCTTCTCTCTCCCTCCCTCCCTTCTTCCCTCCCTTCCCCCCTTCCCTCCCTCCCTCCCTTCTTTCCTTCTTTTCTTCCTCCCTTCTTTTCTTCCTACGTACCTTCTTACTTTCCTACTTCCTTTCTTGGTGCTGGAGATTTCAGGGCCTTGTGCATGCTAAGCATGCTTTACCCTCAGAGATGGGGTTTCTTTTGAGAATAATGGAAGTGATTGTGATGATGGTTGCCCAGCTTTGTGAACACACTAAAAGTTGTATTTAGTACTTTAAGTGGGTAAAACGTATGAATTATTATTGCAAAGCTGTAAGGAAGTAGCAGTCCATTTTGTTGTATGTACTATTAAGTAATATCTCAATTTAGGGTCAACGATATTGTGTTTGGCATTAAAAGTATAAAGTAAATTGTGAGAGTAACAATGTCAAATCATCTGATGGTGTGTACCACTTTTTATTGATTAGGCTCAAAAATAAAGAAGCTGGTGTATCCTCCTTTTTTCATGGGATTAGGTGCCTCTGTCTATTACCCACAACAAGCCATCGCTATTGCCCAGGTGAGTTAGACTCAGTAAGCAAGGCTGTTTGTTATTCCTGTGTGACTGATAGGTCTGCTGCTTATTTTATTTTGCAGTTCCGATAATGCCACACTAAAATTTCTTTCATAGGTAATTTAAAAGTTTCTCTTCACTGTTTAACTCATGTCAATAATGTCAGTGTTCATAAAATATATGCTAATTTGAATATCAGTCTAAGTAAATTTAAAATACCATTTATATACTTCTGTAGAAGTCTAAAGACTCAAATTCCAGAGTTGATAATTACAGAGTACTTTCAGCCTACCCTCACTGGCACTGTCCGTATAGACTGCTCTAGCCTTCATGCGGTCTCTCTGGTATTAGTGCCAGACTCACTTTCCTAATTGCAACATGTGTGTGGTCTCCTCTGGTGTGGAGGTCCTAGTTGAGCTTCTCAATTAACTGTCCTTTTCTTTCCCTTCAGACCTCAGTTTGATGATATTATGATAAGTAGATGGATCACAGTTGGCTGCTAACTTGGGTAACGATAAGATCATAGGGTTTCCAAACATGACCTTAAGATTGATAGCATCAGCATCTCCTGGGAACTTGTCAGAGATGCAAATTCTCAGGCCCCACCCCACAGTAATTGAATCAGGGAGTGTAAGCATGTGGACTTCCCATGTATGTTTTAGCAGGGCTTCCAGGTGATTCAGATGTCAAGATATTTGAGAATATAAGCTTTAGATGCTGGTCTGGAGTCAGTGATACTGTACACATAAAATCACTGGGAAAACTGGCAAGCAGAAGATGAGCTTTAGGATTTGAGGTCCCCTTCACCTTAGGGACATAGGGACCCACTTGCCAGAACTTTCATATCACATGGAGATGCTGTCCTAGGAAGAGACAGCAGTGCAATCATCAGAATCAGGCTCTGAGGGTTGTGAGCCAGACCAGTCCAACACTGGGCCCTTTGGATTCTTCATGGCAGAAGTCCCAATTTCCAGACTGGGCTTCAGTTGTAGGTGGGACTCTAGTGGCCTCAGCAGTAGGAAATTGATGTTTTTGGTAAGAGTCCTGGAGGCAGGTAGTCTCTTGTTTCAGCTCAGGAAGAATGACTAATGTCTGCCTTGCTTAGATAAAAGAAAAGAAATGAACATCATTTTAGTCTCTTCAAGTTTAACAAGTATATGGTGGGCAGGGGCTTACTGCTGGTTGTGAAGCAGTCATGGTTGTCCTCATAGAGTGGCACTTTTTTTCCTTCTGGGCCTCAATATTTGTGGCAAGGCATCGTCTGTATTCATCACCAAGGTAGAAGGATGTGCTGAAAAAGATCTGGAAGTGGATAGTGGTGATAGTTGAATAGTATGGACAGTTTATGCCTCTTGAAACAATTAAAATGATAAATTTTGTATTTGTATTATTTTTCTCTTTTTAAATTTTATTTTCTTTTAAAAATTACACGTGCATATCTTATTACAAGAAAGCCAAGCCAGAAGAGCACTAACTTCCAAAGAGATTTTCTGATATTGTATCTTGTCATTTAGTTCCATTTTTACAGTTTTACTTTTCTTAAAAATTTCAAGCTTGGATGGACCACTTAGCCACTTAAGTGCTATTCTGTTCAGAGTATATAGCTAAAAATAATGTACCCAAGTTGGGTATATTGGGACAGGGGAGGTAGTAGCTCAGTGGTAGAACAGTTAGTTGTTAAGCTTGTGTAGAAGTTCCATGCCCAAACCACAAAAAAGAAAAGAAAATACCTTCATATTGATAGAAAACATTATTTTCCTTTCAGAAAGGTGAGACACTAAGAACAGCAATATCATATGTGGTAAATGCTTAACATATGTAACAAGGAGCCCAAGACTCTTAGCATGTCATATATTTTAAGAGCAGTAGGAACAACTGAGGAATATGGCTCACAGAAATCAGTATGTTACAATCTTTTTACAAGCATTGGGACTGTAGACAAATCCCTTGGCCTCTGTATCCTTGCAGTCTTCATACCCTTACTGTTCTGTAGGATAGGGATAACTCATGTGAAAGTGTTTCATAAAACACCACTATACAAAGATCCATTATAAAAATTAGGATGAGAATGATAACTACTTTTAAAAATTGTAAGTGTTGGGGCTAGAGAGATGGCCCTATGGTTAAGAGCTGTTACTCCTCATCCATAGTAGGCAGCTCACAACCACCTGTAACTCCAGTCCAGGGGATCTGATGCCCTTTTCTGGCCTCCATGTGGAGTTGCATACACATGACATAGAAGTACACATGAGAATACAACATGAACACACACACATATTTGCATACATACACACCAAATAAAACAATTTTGATGTATTAACATGGTAGAACAATCAGCATTCTTTGTTATAAAGTAGAACCAAATGAATGCAAATTGCTAGAAGTATTTTTCTTGAAGACCCAATACTTGAGAAAAAATTTTTCCAGGTATTTGGAGAGATGGTTCAATGGTTAAGAGTACTTGGTTTTTGATTTTGTTGTTGTTGTTTTGTTTGTTTTTTGTTTTCTGGGGTTTTCTTTTTTTGGCAGAGGACCTAGGTTTGATTCCCAGAACCCACATGGCAACTCACAACTGTTTGTAATTCTAGCACCAGATGATCACATGCCCTCTTCTAACCTCCTCGGACCTCCGCAGGCACCACAAACATCTGGTGCAGTACATACATGCAGGCAGAACAGACACACACACACACACACACACACACACACACACACACACACACACACCAGTAATTTAAGCTACCTAGCCAAAGATAGGCAAACACATCTTAAGGTCATGACCCCCTCTAAGGCCAGGACCTCATGGGATGTTAGAATGTAGATAAAGATCATGCTACCTACAAAATCCCTATGATAATTAAAAGACTTCATTATGTTTGTACCTGGGAAATTGGAGACATCTTCATTGTGTTCACATGTTTTACATCTAAGTTTTTAAAATGAATGATTTTCATTTTAGCTTGGCTTGGTTAGTTGTAATGTACCAGGCTGTGTAGTAGGTAGGTTAGGTAGATGTTTGTTCTTCCTTGTGATTTTAGGAATTCCTTATATCATCAGTGGTCTCTTACATTTAGTTTATAAGTTATAACCTTTTGGGAGCTGGGATGTAAATATCAGTAACATGCATAATGCCTCAGGTTTAATCATTAACACCAGTAATAAAAGACATACACATAATTTATAGCCAGTCATTTTAAGAGATAGCTATATGTAACCAGACCTTTTCTTCTTATTCTTTTTTCTATCTTTGGTTTTTCATTTTTTTCTTTTCAATTTTCATTTTTCTTACTTTTATGTTATACAGTTCTTTGCTTTTGAGACAGAGTTTCCCCGTTGTTCATGCTGGCCTTGAATTTGCAGTAGTCTACCTGCCTTAGCCTCCTGATGCTGAGACTGTAGATGTGAGCCACCAAACTGAGGTAGAGTCCCCACTGCTTTTCCTTTTGTGGGACTAGAGATTGAAGCCAGGATGTTTCCTAGGCAAGTGCTCTACTGTTGAACTATATTCCCAGTATATTATGCAGGTTTAATGGATGTGTCTAAAGATTTTCTGTAGAAGCTACACACACACACACACACACACACACACACACACACCACACCACACACATATCACACTCACCCCCTTTCCCACAGCAGTCAAATGCAGTACTTTTGGAAATGGAAGAAAAGAAATTCTCTTTTTTATCATTCACAAATGGATCATTTCTCGATCTATTCTGATTGTGTTTCCAGATTACTGGGGAGAAGTTATATGACTGGGGATTACAAGGATACATAATCATAGAAGACTTGTGGAAGCAAAATTTTCAGAAGGTGAGAAGCATTTTCATTATGTTCTTTTTGGTTTAAATTTAACTATGTGGTTCTTCTAAGGTTTGTAAAATACTTAAATCACCTATTCCTTTAGTTACTTCTTCTGTTGGCTTTTAGTTTCTACTGTCTTTTTTGGAAGAACAGTAGAATATCTGAGTATTTGGTTATTAACAATAGGTCAAAAAATGGTGACCAAAAAAGGCCTTAGACTGCAATTTCTATTCTGTTCTATATATAGTTTCCTCAGAGTATACCGTATTATCTAAAAGTTATGCCATAAATGGATTCAAGGCCAGTGAGATGGCTCAGTGGGTAGAGATGTTTTTCCTGCCAAATCTGATGACTTGAGTTTGGGCCTAAGAACCCACATGGTGGAAAGAGAAAACTAATAATCCACAAGTTTTCCCCTAACCTCCACATATACTGTGTGGTATGCGCATTCTTTTTTTTTTTTAAAGTTTATATTTATTATTTTATGTATGAGCATTCTGTCTTCATGCACACCAGGAGAGAGAATCAGCTTTCATTACAGATAGCTGTGAGCCACCATGTGGTTGCTGAGAATTGAACTCAGAACCTCTGGAAGAGTAGTAAAGTACTCTTAACCATTGAGCCATCTCTCCAGTGCCAGTATGTGCATTCTTATAATGTACAAACACATGTAAATAAGTGTGATTAAAAGTACTTGGGGCTTTATAAGAATGTACATACTGGCACTGGAGAGATGGCTCAGTGGTTATGAGCACTGGCTGTTTTTCCAGAAGACCTGGATTAAATTGCTATGCTCACATGGTGGCTTAACAACTCCCTGTCATTCCATTTTGAGGGCCTCCAAAGGCACCAAGCACACATATAGTCCACATGCATATATGCAAGCAAAACATACATACACATAAAATAGTTAAGTAATATAAAAAAAGCCTTGGGTTCAAATGGAATATATTATGGTCTCAGGAATAACATGCATAATTGAGACATACACCTTCCCTTGATTTTACACTTAATCATAAGCTCTGTTCTTCTCTTTAGTATTATTTGTTCATCTCCCATCCGAGGGTGTAGGTTTTGATATGTTAGTCAGTAGTCATAGGCCACATTCCTAACTCTCCTAGTGGCCACATAGCTTATTGTATGTGGCCTATAAAAATGGTGTCTATTTTGTTAAAGAAGTCTCACAGCCAGGTTGTGGTGTCACCACATGCCATTTATCCAAGCACTTGGGAGACAGAGGCAGTCAAATATCTGAGTTCCAGGCTAGCCAGGTCTATATAGAGCAAGTTCTGAGATGGCCAGGGATACACAGAGAAACCCTGTTTCGAAAAACAAAAACAAATAACAAACAACAAAGAAAGAAGGCTCAGTACAAAACGAGGCATCATGCCTCGTGTGTGTTCAGAGACTAAGGGCAAACTGGGGTTCTTATGTTAACATACTTTCTGCAGTAGAGATCAAAGAAAGTTTATTTGACTCCAATTATTTTAAAAGAATATATTTTTGTAAAATATATAAATAGAAGTTAACAGGCAAATATTATCAAAATAAATTAAATATGTGCATGAAAATGTCATTATGAAGTCTCTTATTTTGTATAATTAATACATACTCATCAAAATGTCTTTAAATAAGTACACTAGAGTTGTAGTTCAGTAGGAAAAAAGTGAGCTTAGCATGCACAAGGCCCCAGCACCACAAACATATATATGTATATTTATTTAAATATCAGGATTTATAGACTAAATTTTAAGTTCTCCTCATTATATACATAAATATCCTTTTAGTGCAATCTTAAGACTGATTTTTAAATTGCTTTTAGATTTATTTGTTTTATTTTATGTGTATGAATGTTTTGTCTGCATATATGTCTGTCTACCACATACTTGCCTGTTGTCTATGGAAATCAGAAGTTGGTGGTGAATTCCCTGGAACTAGAGTTACAGATGGTTGTGAAGCACCATTTGGGTGCTGGGAATTGATTCTGAGTTCACTGCAAGAACAAGTGCTTTTAACCACTGAGCTCATTTCAAAGCTGATTTTTATACTGATGGTTTATAAAGGAGTTAGTCCATTTTGAGCCCATTAAATTAGTTCTTTTATTAAGGGCTGAGGATATAGTTCATTGGAAGGCTGCTTATCCAACATGTACAAGGCCCCAGGTTTAGTTCCCAGTACCACTCAACACAACAACCAAAACAAACAAACAAAACCCCAGGCCAGCCTTTAGTCTCCCAACTCACAGCAGCCTCCCCACCCACTTCCTCAGTATCCCAAGTGCTCTGATCATGTGTGAACCACCAGGGCTAGCTGAACTAGTCCGTAAGAGGGAAATTCTGCATCTGTATCACATGTCACCTGGCACTCCCTTTTAAAAAATAAACCTGGTTTTATTTTCACTTCTGACATTTTCTTTGGAAGCCTTTTTTACTTGTTTAAAATTCTCCTTAAAAAGGATATGCCAAAATTTTATATGGGAAAGGAATTAAAATGCCAGAAAACAACTGTACATGTCTCTAGAAAGAATCATGAAAAATGAGACCAAATCAGCATCTACTACACATTGGGCTACAACTACAGACTAGGGCATACTACCTTGAAGAGGAGGATCTTCTAGAAGCCTGTGTGTCTGTGATGTCTATAGATATGTACCCTGACCAAAGCAAAGGTTGGTGTCACTGTGAAAGACTTTTCTCTGGCTGTTCAGAGAATTTAACTCAATGAAGGACTGTGATTGGAACACATTAAACAGACTAACAATTTGAAGACCTAGGAAGAAAAAAATATGATAAACCCCAGGCATTTAAAGCTATTCATAGATTTTTATGCAAGTCTTTTTGGAGTTGGGTGGTAAAGATTTCTAAGTAGCCCACTACTGGGGGCTATAGAGATGCCTCAGTGGTAAAGAGCACTGGATGTGGATTCAGTTCGCACATGATAGCTCATTCCCCTCTGTGACTCCAATTCCAGGTGCTCTAGATCTCTCTTCTGATCTCTGTGAGTTCCAGGCATGCAAGTGGTAAACAGACATACATATAGGGAAATACACATACACAAAAAATAAAAAGTCAGTAAGTAGTTCATCATTATGGGTTTACATTTGTTTCGTCTGTTATACCTCTGCCTTCTTCAAAGTTAATGGGAACTTTATAGTGTTACTCCATGTATTTACCCAGCAAGCATACTTCTGATAGCTGTCCTCAACAAGAGGAAATAAAATTGATGTTGAGCACATTAGATGTTTACTACAAGGTTTAGGTGAGAGTAGTAGGAGGCCGTCTTAGCTTGGGCATTGATAAGACTTAGACTTCAGAGATTACTTGAGAATGGAGCACCTCTTTGCTGAGGACATGTTGTGACTACTGCCCCCTCCAGAACCTTGTTGGATTTCATGGTTTTCAGAGGTCTTTTGATTTTTTTTTAACTCCAGGTACATTTTTATTAGCTATTTCATCAAATACTAATTATAACCAAGTAGAAGGGCAGCATGGTTCAAGGCTATTTACAGTTGAGAGTAAATGGAAAACAGAAAAAAATATGCTTTAACTCTTAATTGATTACCTACTTATAGAGGGACTTCCTTTTTTATTTTTGTTTTTATTTTTTTATTTTTGCTGTGCACCCCTAATCATATAGCAGAGGGCTTCTTTTAATTTGCTGCTACTATTATTATTATTTTATATGAGTATGAGTTCTTTTCCTGCATGTATATGCGTGCACCACATGCATGCCTGGTGACCAGGGAAGCCAGAAGAGGTGTGTATCCCCTAGAGTTATAATCAGTTGTGAGCCTCCGTGTGGGTGCTGGGAACGGAATCCAAGTTCTTTGCTGTAGCAGCCTCTTACCTCTGAGCCATTGCTCCAGCTCCATTCGTTGTTTTTTAATTGAGAATATATATCAGACAACTCATCATATAGTAAAGGGGGATGAAGTATGTAACTGAAACACAAAATAAACCATAAATACCAGAAGAAAGACACAGACAAAAGAAAGAGACCCCTGGCTTTTTTTTTAAGAGAACCAAGGCACACTTTATAAAAGGAGACTTGTCTTATATTTGTTTACAAGTTGGTTTTGTTGTTTTGGTTTTTTAAGATAGGGTTTTGTGTGTATAGCCCTAGCAGTCCTGGAGCTCACTGTGTAGACTGGGCTGGCCTAGAACTTAGAGATCCATCTGCCTCTGCATCTAGTTCTGAGATTAGAGGCATGTTCTGCCACTGCCTGACTGGAAGTTTTCAAGTTAAGTGTAATTACTAGTCTCAGTTAAGTGTCTTATTTGGATTTTTGTACTCTAATGATAGATAAAGAACATATTTTTGGTTGTATATAATCAAAGAAATTAATGGACATTATGTTTAAAGTAGGAACCTAAATCTTAAATGCAGGCTGGAGAGATAACTTGGTAAAGTGCTTGCCTTGCAAGTATGAGGATCTGAGTTTGATCCCCAGAACCCACATTAAAAGATTTGGGCATGCCGACATTCCCTTGTAATCCCAACACTGTGGAGGTGGAGAGAGGTGGATCCCTGGGTCTCACTAGACAGCCAGCTTAGCCTAATAGGAGAGCTCCAGGCCAGTGAGAGACCCCATCTTCAAAAATGAGCAACTGTTACCTGATGACACGTGATGTCCTCTGGCACACACACACATGAATTAAAATGGTGCAAATGATGTCCAAGGTTCTTTTTTTGTTTTGTTTTGTTTGAGACAGTCTTTCCATGTAGGAGAGTCTGGCACCTCAAACACTACTCTTGTGCCTCAGTCTCTCAAGTAGCTTTGATTACAGGTGTATATTGCCTTGTCCAGTAGTGGCTCAATTCTTAGCTGTATTTTTCTTGGAACAATAGTACTCTCAAGTACTCAAAACAAGTCTGTGGCATTTTGCTGCTCTGCCACATCCTATCTCCCTTTTAGGAATTGATTTTAGAAGTTTGCATTTTCTCCTCTGGTAGTTATTAGGATAAAGGTATGTTTTACTTGGTCATTGTCATTGGCCACTTAAAGAAAA